AGGTAGGCGACAACGAGTACATATACATTGTGTATGGAAGTCCTCACTCTCCGCGATAGTCAATTGAGCCCGAGGAAAGACGTAGCCCGACGGGAGGGGCTGCTTTGTGACCCATGAGCGAGTCCTCGACGAGGAGGACTGGCACTGCCTCAGGAAAGCAGAGAAGGTGCGGGCGAGGTGCTCGTCCTGGTCGAGATCGTCACCATCCTCAAGAGACTGGGGGGCATGTCTCTGGTTGGGGTCACTATGGGATCCATCCGAACCAACACCCAGCGCTCGACAACTCGCAAAGCATAGTTTGGACACGGCAGAAGAAGGCGCGTCCAGGAACTCGGCGGGGGGAGTGGCGAGACGTGGAGAACTGTCGGGGCCGAGATGTGCCAGGGGCAGACGTGGTAGCAGGAGGTGCAACACCAGGCTCAGATGTAGAGCCCACAAGAGGTTCATAGGTGAGCTGGATAGCCCTGGCAATGTTGAAGGCCTCAGGGAGGGTGTGGATTGTGTATGACAGCATCTGAAGCTGGAAGGGTTGGGGTAACCCGACACGGAAACGCTAGACCATAGTGTCGTCGGCTATGAGGGAGGGGGGAATCTAGGCGCACGAGGTGGAATGTCATGATGTATGACTCTAAAGCATTGTTGCCACCAAGCCATCTAATCTCAGCGACCCGTGTGATCGGGTCACGAGTAGGCGTCGGGTGAGAGAAGTACTACTGGAGAAAATCACGAAACTCTACGTACGTCATACTTGCGTGAACGCCCTGCTAAGCACGAAGGGCGAAAAAGTTGCACCACGTGGAAGCCGCTCGAGCTGTGAAGCGAGCTGACATCTTCGTAGGCCATAAGTCCATGTTTACACCATGGTACTGAAGTTGGTCCTTGGTTGTGGTGATCCAACCTTGGAGTTCGGAGGCCTTGCCGTCAAACTGGGGGAGTCTGTTAGGGCGGTACCGAGGTACATAGGGCGGCGACTGATAATGAGGACGGAGGGGGAGGGCACACTGCGATAAGAGGACAAAGGAACTAGGGGCACCCGCAGGAGCACTAGACAAGGCAGGGAGCTGAGGCAAATCGCCGTGAGCCATCATGGTGGTCGGTGGAGGAAGAGTAAAGTGCATCGCAGCGGCCTGTGTCTGATGTTGCCGGTAGATGAAAGGGGCAGTAGGCTGTGCCGCGAGGTGGGGAGGCAAGGGTTTACCTCCTTGGAGCCGGCGGATGTGGTCGTGGGCCATGGCAAGTTGGCTTTGGAGCTCAACATTTTGTGTCCTCGGTGTCATAGGGGGGGGGGGGGGG